TAAAGAACAACAGATAACATACTAGAACCTTGGCTTCCTGCCCTTTTTCCGAAGTAGAAGGCTTGAGCCTTTGATGTCCATCTAGTTGCTGCCAAGATAGTGGCCTGGGGCGGTGCCTGTGGCTCAAAAGGGTAGGGTGCCAGCCCCATATGCTGGAGGTGGTAGGTTCAAACCCAGCCCCAGCCAAAAACTGCAAAAAAAAAAAAAAAAAAAAAAGAAAAAAAAAAAAAAAAAAAAAGACAGTAACCTGAAGCCCGCAAAGCGTAAGGCAGGCAGCATGTGGTTTCTTGAGCCCCGACAGGTGATGGGGGAAGCTGAGTCATCACTCATAAAGGATGATCATTAGGGGGACATTGCTTGAGGGAAGACCAAAGGGGTGGGGTTTGGTCCTTTTGTCAGGGGTTGGGTGGGTTTTTCCTGCACTAGGCAGGGGTCACTAGAGTGACTTTTGTTGGTTTTTTAAACATGCCTTCAGCCTTGGGTCTAATTGGTATCACTAGAGCAGCTGGGGGGTGGGCAGTGCCTGCCTGCCTCCAAGTGCCAGACGGTGTGGAGTCACTTCCTCAGCATCCAACCCTGCAGCAGGCTCCCTCATAGTGACACAGCTCTGAACCATGGCGCCCTTTGTCTTTTGCCTTGGCACAAGACAAAGTCTTTCTTTTTTTTCTTTCTTTTTTTTTTTTTTTGGCAGCTTTTGGCTGGGGGTTTGAACCCATCACCTCTGGCATATGGGGCCACCACCCTACTCCTTTGAGCCACAGGCACCACCCTGGTACAGTCTTTCTTAAGCAGACATCAGAAGGACTCCCTTCTGACCAGAGTTATCTGAGATTACTTTTTCTTCCCCATTTCCAATTGGGTGTTGTTGGCTTGTTTTTCTGTCACTTGAGGTAGGGGTGAGTGAACAACACTGCTAATTGGTTCCGAAGGAGCATAATGCCTGCATTTCCTCTTCATCCCAGTGCTGCCTTTTCCCTCTTCCCCAGTGGGTGTGCAGAGAAAGGAGCAGGCAATTTTAGGAATTTATTCCCATGACTATTAAACTTACTAATTTAACAAGCACTTGCTACTTATATACCATATGCCGATACTCTGGAAATGTGGGGTTTGGTCCTTTTTTGTGTCCAGTGTAGTTGCCAGTCTAGGTCTGTTCTGTGGCTTTTCTTAGATTTTTAAATTGGAATCATGAGATAAACCAGGCATTCCCGGACAACTCCAGTGATAGCCATAAGGTTCCATCACCTGTGGTTTTTCAAAAGCATTCTAGACATGGCTTCCCTTACCAAATGAAAATTGTCTCTTTCTAAATAAGTTTGTGACTTTTCGAATGCTCACAGAACCTCCTTTTTACCTTTACCCACTGGCTTAACTCATGGTAGAGGGCTGTGATGTGATTTGGGATGTCCCAGAGAATGGTGCTTTCCTTGGTAAACAGAGGTGGAATACAGTCTTGGTAGGGCTCCTGGGTCTTGGGGGTGCCCTGGCTTCCCCACCCTCTTGCTCATGAGTGGGGCTGGCATTGCCGGGGAGTGGGTGAACAGGCCGGGGATTGGCCTGCCTTTCCTTATTTCTCAGTGCCTGTCCCAACTCCTCTGCCTCAGGACAGCAGCTCAGCCTCCAGGCCCACTGATGGATCCGCTAACGAAGGGGTCCTGTGGGAGTCAGTTGCCAGTATGTAGAAGAAAGTGGTAGGAACCCAAACAGAAGAGGAACGGTGTGGGGTGTCATGGACACTGCCAGGCCTCTTGCACCCCCTTGAA